TTTCCTTCTGTTTCTACGCTCCCTGATTATGCCCTTTCACCGTTTCTTAAATTCCCGGAGATTGGTAACTCCGATTGGGCTGAAATTTTGACACGATTTTTATCCGGATATGGGCTTTCTTGCGGCGAAAGAAGGGCACCAACCGCCTTACGGAGTGGCCACGAGGGCCCAGGGCATGCCCTACCCCCTGGGGCGCGCCCCTCGTCCTCGTGGCCCCCTCGGGCATCTTCTCGCGTTGATTCCACTTTCCAAAATTCACATATATTCTAAAAAATCTCCGTAAGTTTTTATCCCGTTTGGACTCCGTTTGATATGAATTTTCCGCAAAACAAAAAACATGCAACAAACAGGAACTGGCACTGGGCACTGGATCAATATGTTAGTCCCAAAAATAGTATAAAAAGTTGCCAAAAATATGTAAAAGTTGTAGAATATTGGCATGGAACAATCAAAAAATATAGATATAACGGAGACGTATCAGTACCCGGTCTCTATTTGCTGTAATGTCTCAACTGGGTGCGGTGGCGGATTAGGAGCAGGTGCTGATGAGCATCATCCATATAGGACCCTGGTGGACATTTGTTGCACTAGGGTTGGATGGCCAGATCCCCTACCTCCTACCACAGTCTGCGGACACGTTCAGACGTGTGCGTGTATGTTTGATCTATCCATTTTGGTGAACCGCATTGGAGTTGCCGTTATCTTTTTCCTCACTCAAGATGAGTAGTCTTCGCTCTTCTACTCCATTATTCCAAACTTCAAAAGCTCTAATACCTCTACATCCCTTCGTCAAAATACACCAATCCTTTGAGGGAAAGATAGAGGAGCCCCAACTTTATATTCTCACGGAAGCAAATTAGCGTCCCCTTTGAGTTTTTTCAGGGGACCTGAGTTTGCGGATATTTTCATTGCCTCTCTAGCTTTTGTACATCCGAAGCACACAAACTTATTGTGGGGAATACACGGCACTATAATCCTATCCTGGCTTCGATAATCTTATGCCCGGAGAAAGCATCAACTGTTCTTTCTAACTGCAATCACATGCATGTGTCATGTGTGCCAGAGCTGTACCGAGTTGCTTATAATTGCCGAGTCGAGTTTTGGATCAAACTCGGCGGACGGAAGTTTGCCGAGTTCCCGATAAAATAAACTAGGCGAAGTTCTGGAACTCGGGACAAAACCAGATTCTAGTAGTGAGAGAGGAGCAGCGATCATCTTTTCTTCACTTGTCAGTTTGCTCGCATTTGCTGGTCATTTCATTGTCCTGATTTTCAGCCTACCAATAGTATTAGACCTCTTAGGCAACGAACATTCGGTAGGAAGCATGGCAATTGCGAACCTTTTTAAGGGCAAGTTCTTCAGAGCACAGATGACAATTTCTCAGAAACACATGGCAAATTGTTGGCAAACAAAGGATTTGCTGTGAAAATTGTCGTGCTCGCTCGAAGGAATTGCCACTCTTGACACATAAAAGCGAAGGTTCACTGAGTAGCATTACCAATAATATTTAGGACAATTTGGCAAATAAGAAGAACCACTTGTCTATGCCTTTTTTCATGGAGTTATGATCCTCGTGACATGGTCACATGGAGTACCATCTGAATTTGCATGAATGCCTACATTTCCAAGGACAGGATCCCTAGTCTCTGGTGTCGTTTCTTACATCGTCAGAGCCCTCTCAGATTGAGTTATGATCCTCGTGATAATATTTATTAAATTTACATTTTTACAGCTTGTCAAAAAAGACATTATCAACCAGAAAAGCAGTACTGGTGTCGTTTCTTACATCGCCAGAGCTCTCTCAGATTGATTACCATCACCTCTTGGTGTGTGTGGCTCCATCAACAGCCGAGGCGTCGGAATCCATTGTCGAAGTTGAAGTGTGGCTTGGCGGCGGCACCGCCCCTGAGGATGTACTGGTGGTACGCCATGGCCACGGCGGCGCCGGAGAACGGCCCGACCCAGAAGATCCACTGCTCGCTCCACGCCTTGCTGTTGTTGTACACCACGGCGGCACCCAGGCTCCTCGCCGGGTTGATCCCGGTGCCGGTGACGGGGATGGTGGCCAGGTGCGCCACCACCACCGCGAACCCGATGAGCAGCGGCGCCAGCACCGGCACGTGGGTGTCCCGCGCCATGCGCTTCGGGTCGGTGGCCGAGAACACGGTGTACACGAGGACGAAGGTGCCGGCCGCCTCGGCCAGCAGCCCCCCCGCCTTGGAGTACCCCGGCGCGACCTCGTTGGCGCCGCCGCCGTAGAGCTCGTAGTACCGCGCGCCGTGCACGGCCCTGACCATCGCCGCGCCGCAGATGGCGCCGAGGCACTGCGCCGACGTGTAGAGGAAGGCGCGGGGGAGCGACAGCTTCCTCGCCAGCAGCAGCCCGAACGTCACGGCGGGGTTGACGTGGCCGCCGGAGATGCCGGCGGTGCAGTAGACGAGGACGGCGATCATGCCGCCGAAGGCCCACGCGATGCCCAGCACGCCGGCGCCGCTGCACGCTTCCGCGTCCGTCTGCCGCTTGTGGCCGATCACGGTGGCGACGGAGACGTAGACGAAGAGCAGACTGGCCATGAACTCGGCGATGATGGCGCGGTACAGGGACCACTGGCCAAGCTCGCTGGCGTCGAACAGCCGCACCGCCGGAGGGTCGAGGTAGTCCTTGGCGACGCCGATATCGTTGTTACCATGGGCCTCTCTACTCTGCTTGCCCTGTGCAGCGCCGGCCATGTCGATGTCGATCGACCTCTAGCTCAGCTGATTAATTCGGGAAGAAAAGAAGAGATCGATGGATAGAAATAATTAAGAATCGGCTAAGTATTGTGTCCATAACCTGCTGGCAAAGATGCTTCTATATATAGAGAGGAACCACAAGGCAGACGTGGTAAGCTATCTTCAAAAGAATCCAAAGAGAGGAAGGCCACTTATGCCCTAGCAGACACCATTTACAAACCACAAGCACCATTTACTCACAAGCCAAAGGCTCTCTTTTTTCTTTTTCTTGAAAAGACACCCAAAGGGCATCCTATGTCTGGTAGTAATTATCAAGCAAACCGGTAGCTAGTGCAATGAAAAAAGAGAGCCTTTTTTTTGCAAGAGAAATTTCCAACCTATTCATCAATCAAGGCAGTACATAGAACACTTAACCTTTGACGGCCAATAATCCTTAATTTTAAAAAGTAACACATTAGTCATTTTTTTTAATTTGACCAAATTTATAGGGGAAAAATATCGACATCTACGATACCAAATGATAGATATATATCAGTACAGATTTGATATTATTGTAGATGTTGATATCTTCTCTATATAAGCCTGATCAATCTTTAGAGAATTTGACTGAACACAAAATTTATACGACTATGTTTTGAGAAGGAGGTTGCATTATTTTAAATATTTGGATTCGAAACATGGAAATCATATGTGTTGAGTGACTAAAAGTCTGTTAGAACATTATCAATAGTTCCTCACGTTATTTACATATATAGTACAATACCCAAAATAGTGCTCAAATTTCTTGCATAACTAATTTTTAAAATTTGGCCAAGTTTGCAAAGAAAAATTATCAACATACACCACACCAAATGATAGATATATTCATACTGATTTGGTATTGCTGTAGATGTTGATTTTTTTTTGTGTATAAGCATGATCAAAGTTTATGAATTTGTTGACTAGGACAAAATTTATATGATTTATGTTTTGAGAAGGAGGGGGTATTCAAATATTTAAAGTGAAAACTTGGAAATCATATGTGTTGAGGGACTAAAAGTATTTCTTTCTTACTTAAATGCATACCACAATATCCATGATAGTGGTCAAAATTATAATATATATTAATATCGAAAGTATTGAGTCAACTCTGCATAGTTCTTAGTTGCCCTGCATTCTTACCGTGGTAATACAAGGTATAATTTTGCATATCTAGCTTTGTTACGAATTCTACCTTAGTCATCGGTTAGTCTTTGATAGCTACAACAATATCAATCATTCGGTGGTCTCGATTGTGTGCCTAGCTGGTACTCCTTTTTTCTCTGCATATAAGATTTTGTCTGAAGTCAAACTTCGTAAAGTTTGGCCTTATTTGTATTAAAAAAATGTCAACATCTATAATACTAAAGTAATACAATATAAAAACTAAATTTATTATGCATCTAATGATATTAATTTTGTATTATGAATGTTGATATTTTTTCTATAAAGTTGGTCAAACTTTATGAAGTTTGACTTCATATGAATCTTATAGACAGAGTAAAGAGGACCAGGGAGGGGGGGGGTATATATGTTCTACAAAAACGCTTTTGGAATGGGAGACATTTTCCTAAGGCATCTGGAAAGACCTCGTATATATTCTCATCTATGATGTGGTGTTAATTATGGCATCGCAAGTTTGTACTAGTAGTACGTAATTAACTAGACTTTTTAGTTCATGGTTGGGTCATAGTAGCAATCAATGAGTTGTCATGCGGACGCTAAAAAACGGTGTGCTCATATTTAATAAATGTATAAAAACCAAAATTAACTTTGGACAAGTATAAATGACAGAATTATTTGTGTACGATCAAAATTGTGATGTGATCATTGACCCCACAATTTACAGGTAGAATCGTCACTGCAATCGGGTAATACAAGGATCCACTAAAGGGTCACTAGGATTCCAGCTCTATCATCGATCACAATACCTGGCCGTGGGGTACACAATAGTCTCACGAGTGTGGCAACAAAATTCTCTATGTCGCATATTTAGGCACCTTGATTCATTCCGTAGGTGTCACGCACGAACCACCAAGTTAATCATACTATGAATGATTCCTAGTCTCTTAACACAAATTTATTTTGAATAATTAAAAGTCACAACATGAGTAGAATTGAATGTGTACAGTAATTTGCGGTTAAAAAAATGTACACAGTACCTTTGTAAAAAAAATTGTGTACAGTAATATACATCGACACTTCTGCCGTCCAAAATCGTAAACACGATTTCAAAGATATATGTAAGTCGTAAATATTTATTTTACTCAAGTTAGAATACATTGATTTTTTTTTCGAAACGGAGAATACATTGAATTTTGACCAACACGTAAGTAAAACCGTCTGGCGTAGCTGTGGGGAGGACCAGCTGCGTACACTGCACTGGCACTGCCGACTGAAACGGCGCTGAGCTGACGAGAATGCCCTCATACAGAGCTGCTGCAGGTTGCGTGGACGCGTACACCACGTGCCCCTCTATCATTTCGTCCTTGATCAATTCCTGATTTGAGGCTTATTATCAATTCCTATTTATTTCTCGAGGAGAAACCGTCAGGAGCACCAACGATGAAGAATGAATCACCCAGTAATAAAGGTACGTACTACTGTTTCTTCCTGTCTTGAGATCGAATCGAGCTGAATATGACGCCCCAAACTAACATTTAGATTGCTTGATTATATTCATATCTAACGTACGGTTGGCATTTTTTGCCAACTCTCGCTTGTTCTTTCTCCTCTACTTATTACGTGGCTAGCTTCCGACGACGTCCTTTTCATGCACTCACGACATGTTTGTTCTTCTTTGCCGTGTTGCTGCTTAGTCACGTTGTTTGAGGCCTCAGATGTGGGTGCCGACGAGCAAGCCGATCGTCCATGGATCGATGACAACGTTAACGTGCGAGTCGGGACCTGGGATCCAGCAGCAGCCAGAGACGGGGAATCGAATCGCTCGAGGCCGAGGATGGTAGTCAGGAGAAGATGACACGCCATGGAAACGGAGATGGGGACAGGAGCCGCGCCCGTGTGCTAGCACGCGCGCGTACTCAACAACTTAAGGTCGACCGATGGAGGCATGGTTTCTTTTGTATGTTTGCTGCTGCATGGCCTGGTCTCTGGCATCTATCTGTCTGAGATCATATGCATAGATCCAGTCTGATTAGATCAGATGTTCAACCTCCGTTCGGTATTAACTGTCGCTGAAATGAGTGTATCTAGATGTGTGTATTAGATACACTCGTTTCAATCCCAGAAGGAGGGAATAGGTTTTACCGAGAAAAATAAGAGATCAGATGTATAGGTAGAGATGTGCACATGTTGACCTACACGTAAGCATGCGATGCAAAGGCAACCAAATATATAGGGGCTGCTAGTCTAGCAAATGGCCGTGGTATTCCGTCAATGGTCGACGTAGCTCGTAGCTGGTAGTAGTAAACGGTAACTGTAAGAAAGCAATGCCTGCGTAGGTGTATGCTTTCTATTATATGCATGTGCATGGTCCTGGCCGATCGACCACAAGAATTAGGAGAGATCCACAATTGTGGTCGCAGAGAGAGACAGAGACCGCACATCCTGAAAACGATACATCTCTGGAACGTAGCGTTTCGTCGCAGTCGATACACATGGTGGTCTGACACCATCAATTCCAATTCCAAAATTCAATTATGCAGCGATCGAGCCAGCTTGATTTGTTCATATCCACACCGGTCACGCACTGAACCACTGCTGCCGCGTACGTACGTCTACGGCCCATAATTGTTCCCCCAGAAACCCATGTGACCCATCACACGCTGTTTTCCATCTATACGTATTGTTCTGTAAAAAGAAAAAAAAATAACGGTCTTCGTTTGATTCTAATTCTGTTATTTCTTGGGATGTTAGTCCTCCCAGCCTTATTTTTTTATGAGATTTTGAATGGTGTAAGCTTATTCAGTACTCAATAAAATGCGCCAGAAGGATTTCCCGTCCAAAAAAAAGCAGCATAAACCTTTACAAAAATACCCTTAAACGAACAGAAAAATACATTTAAATCTCTGGGGTGCCGAAGTCTTCGCTTATTGCCGCTTGTTTAAACACATGAGCTCGTAGCAGCGGCCGGGAAGTCTCAACGTAGACACCGATAACCGCGAACCGCATAGCAAATCGTCTTCCTGCCGAAGAAAACGCCAGAGGCCATGTAGAACGCCCCGGTTCTAGCTAGATGGAGTTAGGAAACAAAAAACTCACATGCTCCCCGACAAGACCAAGGCTTGCTAACCTTCATCATTCAATACTGGGCTGGAGAACCAAGACCGATAACCACATTGTTCACTTCGCAGTACAACGCGACCGAAGCAAGCAAAAGAAAATGATAGACAACCCAAAAGACTTGATCTAGGGACACACTATGTTCCACACACCTCTCGTTGATACAAAGAAGCATCATCGAAACGAGGACGAGGCGGGGAGACCTTACTCCACGGCAATGACTGCTCAACAAAGACAAACCCTAAATTTATTCCTAACCCTACCATCATCGTATCGAAGCCCTAGGGTCCCCACCCCCTCCTGTCATAGAGCAACAAACGGAGGGGGGAGGGGGGGAGGGAGGCCCTCAGAGTCGCTGTTGAGTAGGGTAGATTAGCCGCCATCGCCTATCGCCTAGTTTGGGAAGGAGGCGGAAAGAACAACCCATAGAGAATAGACTTGAGCTACGGGCTCGACTAGGGTCTCCGTATGTAGACCCATTTGTTGTGGGTAGCCTAGATCGATATATACTCTTCCATCCGGTTTGTAAGTTGGACCCGGATTTGTATGTCTTCAACTTGACTAACAACACATATGTAATATTCCATACAGATATATGTTTAGAAACTTTACTTGGCAACAGAGCTAGAGATATATCTTTTAAGCTATATAACATATCTATGTTTAGCTAGCCAAAATGAAAAAACCCATGCTCGACTTATAAACCCGTATATATGGTAATGGCTTGCATGGCACCC